AGTTCAAGACCAGACTCAGATGATAGAATTAGATGATCACAAAATTAATCATTTACTTTACTCCACATTAATACACAGTTTCAGAATATCAATACCAACACTCTCTCTACCAAAATAGTTACTGAAAACAGTTTAAAAATAACTTTTGCATATGATTTCCCCATGTTCCCCTATCTTTTAAATTATTATGATATATGGACATTTTAAGAGCAGAGTGCCATGATATAATATATTCTCCCTTTCAACGCTCATCTAGTCTGAGCTATACAAGTAACTGTATGTTCAAAGCTCACCATGAGTCCTTACAACAATGTCTCTCTACTCATTCTAGCTGTCCTTCCCTAGTAGAATCCTCAAGAAGGAATCATGAGAACATAATCCTTGCTTTGCTGCATGTTGACAACAATTTATCTAAGTCCTTAATGCCTAAAAGTTAGTATGACTGGACCTAAAAATCTCTGGCTCACATTTTCATTACACAGGTATCTAAAGCACCCTATTCTATTAACTTCTGGCATATATTGTTGCTGTCAAAAAGTCCAATGATAATATGATTTTCTTTATTTCATAAATCACTTGCTTTTTGGCCTGAAGGCCCAAGAGATTTTTTTCCCCCCCCCAGGTCCAGTAATTTAATCAGAATATGTCTCGGTCATTCTGGGTCAACGTTCTCAGTGTGCCCATTTAATAAATAGCTTTAAGTACTTTTTTAATTTCAGAAAGTTTTCTTGAATTATAGTTTTTAACATGTTATGGTTCTATTGTTTTGGTCTCCTTTGGTGTCTCACAGCTGATGAGATATATACACACACACACACACACACACACACACACACACACATTTATATTTATATGTGCGTATATATGTTAGATCTTCTTTGCCTGTCTTTTAAATGTGTCACTTTCTCTTTAATCATTTTTCTCTTATTCTTTTTTTTCCTTCTTTTCATCTTCTGCTTCCCTTAATGTATCTGTTAGATATATTCTACTCACTGGAAACTACATTGATGAAAAAATTTTTTCAATTCTTTCCTGAGTTCTATCCATCTCATTTCTTACTTTTTCTAATTCAAATTTATGTTATTCTTTTGCACTGATATTATTTCTTAATGTCTTTTAGCTCATTTTGAAATACTTATAATTTTCATCAGCTTTTGAGCATGTTCTTCTGGCATGCTTTCATGGTTTGTAGGTATCTGATTTTTGTTTTCATTACAATAACTTTATAGCGTATTTGACCATATTTGTCCTTTTCTGTTGACTATTTTTACATGAAACTAGTTTACATAAACTTTTAGGAGGGATGATGAGGATAGCTCTTTCCACTGATAAATCTACACTCTGTACTCTATGTTTCTAGGCAGTTGTCAAAAACATGAGGGCTTATTTTCCAGTCCACTTAGCTCTGCTCCCCTCTGCCACTTGCAGCTGGACCTTCCCTTTCCTTTGCTCCACCATCTCACATCTATTCCTGGCAGCTTCTCCCCAGCTGAGTCTTTGCACTCATCTGCTATCGAAACATATAAAGCCCCTCCCTGTTTCAGCTGTTGATCTCAACTTGGCCCACTGAACTGCCCAATGAGTACCTGCTGACTGGGGATGCCCGGGTCTGTCAATTAACTAGGTCCGTGGGGATACTCTAGTATCTGGTTTTGTTGTATATTTTGCCTATGTATGTATTTGGTTTTCCTATCTGAGTTTTTCAGTGTATTTTACTGGATAATTCAGAGATATCCAAAACCTAGGACAGTTTGCCACTATCTTCCAAGACCTCTAATCTTAAACATAAAATTCTAAGAAATCAGATTTCTGGGTATTGTAAGTATCATAGGAAAAGGATATATCATTTTCTAGGTGAAAAGTTGACTACTTTTACACTAGGCTGATTGTGTGAGTGAGAAAAATAGAGTGATAGCTCTCAAGAATTTGAAGACAATTTGCTATCTTTCATTTAGAAATCAAAACAATAGTAAAAGTAGGTGCTCTACAAAGTCATCTTCTCCTCACTATTTTTTAATTTTAAAAATACCAAACCTATAGAAAAGTTACTACAATAGAAATGAATACCCATATTCCTTTATCTAAAGCCACTAATTTTTAATAACTTGACATGTTTACTTTATTTTTCTCTATATTCACATTCACACAGTATTTTTTTTTCCTGAACCACAGCAAAGTAAATGGAGGCATAATTATCTTTCACCCTTCCTTAAATACTTCAGCATATATTTCCTAAGAACAGGAACATTCTGCTACAATTTCAATTTCATTATCACATTTAATATATTTGTCATTGATATAATGATATTATCTAATATATAGTATGTATTCAGTTTCCCCAATTGTCTCAAAAATCTTTTGTTTTTAAATCCAGGATGTGATTAAGGATCATGCATAGTATTTGACTGTCATATTGCTTCAATCTCTTTAATCTAGAAACTTCTTCCCACTTGCTCTTATAAAATAGGAATTATGAAATTTACTTTACAGAGTTGTTGGGAAGATTAAATAGAAATAAAACAAATAAAGTGCCTAGCCCATTCTTTATACACAATTATTGACAATGCTCAATAAATATTAATTTTCTTCCATCTGTCTACAGCCCACACTGAATCCAGTATCCTGGATTTGTGTGTCAGCTATATTTATTGCTGTAAATTTTAAAAGTGGCATCTAATTTCAGTAACCATAGTTAACGTGAGTCCAAAGCAAATTGAGTCCACATGTGGTCCCAGTTAGAGGTTTCTGAGTCTGTCAGACTGTGAGCCACCAAGGAGTTCTTCTCCCAGTCCCAAGAGGCCACAGTGAGCCTCTGCCACTGAGTTTGCAGCTGTCTGCAAAGATGGCCTCATGATTCCTTAGACTGAACTGCACATAGCAATGCACCACCTGTGGACCACATTTGTAAGGGTTCTGTGTGTCCACCTTTCTCCTCTATAAACCTTGACCTGGTTTCCTCTGTTAAGACTTGCCCATTAAGATTCTCTGTCTCATTCTACCATTTGCTGTGTAAATAACTGGCCAGAACTTCTATTAACCATTATCAACAAAGTGGGCATCTAATTAATAATAATCATGTGCTGTTTCGCATTTGTGCTGTATCTAATTAACCAGAAATTAGGCCAGCCTTACATTGACAAACCACTTGATAACTATAATTCTAGTTCTGATTTGGTTTTATTTTAAAAGGTAGAAGAAGATATTCCCAGGCTACGAACCCCAAACTGCAATTTTACTCTCAGCTTAGAAGGGGAGAGCAAATGCCCAGTCCCATCTGTAACAAAAGTCAGGAACACAACAACAGAACAAAATAGGCCTGCATTGGACACATAAACCCAAATAGCCACCCAAACACAAAAAGCCAAGGTTTCCACCCAGAAGCCTTCTATACAATTCCACAGGACAACGTGACACAGGTGGTCAGTGGCAGAAGCTTCAGTCACAGTCACTTCTAGGTGACTTCACTTCTAGCCCGGAAATCTTCCAAGACATACCCCTGGGATAATATTCAATCAAGCATTCCTAGGACGGGTGTTGGACACCATGTATCCTGCCAAACTCTTTTCTTGGGAGAAAGAAGTCAGAACCTAGGTAACTCTCTGTCTACTGATTTAAAAAAAAAATGTAGTTCAGTGGTATAAAGCAGTTTACCAACAAAAATCCATTTCATCAGACATTTTAAGTCTTGGTATAATTTTAAATCTACCTGACTTTTTTCTAATGTGTCCAACACTAAAATTCTTTTCTTATCTTTGTTAATATTATAAAAATAATGTTTTATTAAGTACCAGGATTACATAAGGAATCTCATTATGACTGTTTAACATATTAACTGTCATGTGAGTTGTATTTAACTCATGGTTTTGAGCCTGGGGTCTCCTGAAGCAAAACCTAGGCAAAACCCTGCAATTCGTTCATGAAAATCTTACTTGTTGATGTTCTTATTGTTACAATTAATATGGACAAATTAATTCTAAAATTGTGGATTAAATGAATGGAAGTCAATAAATTTTGTTTTTCGTTAAAGTTTTCATTAAATTAGAAAGGATCGTTTTGTTTTCTAAGTTTTTATTCCATTTTCATAATAAAACACTGTGGCCTTAAGGAAAAAAAAATTTTTCTAGTGTGGCAGTCAATGTATTAGACATTACAGAGAGCTCAGACAGCAAATTCTATGGAGGGTGTTATGGACACTATTAGGAAAGTGGGGCCTTTGGGGGGTGATTAGGTTTAGATGGGGTCATGAGGGTAGGGCCCCCGTGATGAGATAAGTGCCCTTATAAGAAGAGAGAGAGACACCATAGCGCCCTCTCTCTACCACGTGGGAACGCAGCAAGAAAGCCACCATCTGCAAACCAGGAAAGCAGCCCTCAGCAGAAACCCCTCATGCTGGCACCCAAATGCAGACTCTCAGAACTATGAGAAAATACATTTCTGTTGTTTAAGCCATGTAGTCCATGGTATTTTGTTATAGCAGCCTGAGCTAACACCCCCCATAGTGCCTCCAAATGAATGTTTAAATGCATGCTTCATAATTTGACATAATTAATCTATGAAATCTCATCCCTAATCAGTCCTAATGTTATAATAAATATAAATTCCCATTTCCTTCTCACTCCATCTCCAGATAGAAATCACCCGACTTTGAAGGAGAACTTTATCATCACAGCTAATTAGATATCTAAGGAATCACAGCAGTTATACTCGAAAAAATGCAATAATTCCTACATTCCACTAATTTAGAATGACCTCCTGGCAAGTGAGTACAAAATTGTCAAGAGTGAGAATTAAGAAGTCGTTTAGCTAAAAAGTACTTGTATTACTTTCAGACACATACAATAAACTCACTCTGCTAACAAAGTGCCCAAGAGATGTCTCAGGCAGCTTGAGTTAATGAATGACAAGTAAGTTACAAAGAGAAAACAGCAGGCATCAAGGATGGTGATTGCTACACTGTATCTTGGATGTGATGTGCTAATTAAAATTAGGAAAGCGCTTACCGTCACTCAGATCCTGGAGGAGGTTCTCCTGGCAAGAGAAATCCAGCTTCACCTTGATGTTGATGGTGAAAGTGGCCACCTTCCCAGGCTGCAGAGGAAACTGGGCAAGGGTTTCCTCTAGGTTCCAGCTCAAGAAGTCACCGTACAATTTTTCTACAATAATAATAATAATCAAGATGATGTAACTAAGGCAATATGAGATTTACCAGTCTCATAGAAAATTCTGGTGCATTCTCAGAAGCAAAGTAAAAAGCATGTAAAATGTCTTAGATCAAAGTACCAAGAAAATTCCAGAATCCAAGAGGTGTTGCAAGACAATCACCCCTGTTTATAAACAAGGCACAAAGAGGAGGAAGAGCAGGTCATCGTTAGAGGCACCGAGCTTCAAGCCAAGTTGTCTTTACTCCTAGTGAGCAGCTCCTTCTTGCAAAATAAATGTTTTTTTTTTTGTTCTTGCCGACTAAATCAGAGTTAAACTATTAATAAATTTCTCCACAACAAATATTTTCTGTATCATATCACCTTAAAGAGAATGAGATCCAAGTTTAGTAGGGGAAGCATATTCAACACAAGAGACCCTTTCCAGAAAAAGAGAATACAAAATCAGAAATAGAGAATGAAGTACAGTACCTATGAAAGGGTCTGTGGAGGAGAGGCACATCCTTAGCTTGCTTGCAAATACACCTCTGTGTTTCAAAGATCTGAGTGTCGACTCAAATGGCCCTGGGTTTGGCGCCTTTTTGACACTGACTGACTGGAGTATCATGGAGAATAATGATTCCTTAGAGCCAAGGTTTCTTCGTGTATAAAATGGAGATAACAACTGCTACATCGCAGGGTTGTTTTACAGATCAAACAGAGTAATGTCTGTAAAGCACTGAGAAGATCACAGCGAAACGTACTGAAGGGAGGAAGGAGCACAGGAAGGGCACACGGATGTTCCCTCCTTCATTAGACACTGGGGGTGGTGTAAGACAAAATTAAGGCCTGATGTGACATGCTGCCTTGACAAACCCAGAGGGCCTCAAATGGCCTCCCCACAAATCCCCTTCCCATTCTGCTCCTGCAAATAATGTCCCTCGGCCAAACAGCCCTCCAGGTCACAGAGCCAGGCGCAGTCCTGCATATCCCTGCTTGTGGGTTTCAGCCCTGTGCCAGCCTGGAGGATGACTAAACGAAGCCAATCACATCCTCCCACAGGAACTGGGGCACTCCTGCCATCTTCACACCACAACACAGGCCTCCCACAGCCACTGGGTTGTTCTTCACTCTGTTCCTGAGTGCAGCCCCCATGTGACCCTGTGCGGCACGGGGTCCCCCTCCCCTGGGCTCTGCGTAATATACTAATAAACTGCTCTCAGGCTCATCTGTCCAGCATGAGGTGTGTGTGTGGCTATCCCCATAGGGTAGGGCAAGAATCCCTCCTCACCAACAGGGAATAGGAGGCCATTAAAATAGGTCCCTCCTTCTACCAAGAAGGCCCAGCTCTGTTCTCTGCTCTGGCTGGAAAAGCCTAGCCTCTTGGCCCTGCTAACCCTCCTCCAGTTGTGCCTTCAGTCTTAGAGGTGGGAGCAACTTGCTGCTCTTCTTACCATGCCCTTTTTATGAACCAGTTTTCTGTGCTGAATTTCCTCTGTCTGAATAAGGAAACTGAAGCTCAGAGAGATTAGGTAACTTGTCCATGGTCACAAACTAGGGAAAAGATCTAGAATTCCAGAGCCAAATGATTCCAAAGTCATTATGTTCACTTCCTGCATAAAGATACTTCATGTTAAAAATATAAAGTTCTGGTCTTAGGACCCACAAACCAACCTTGCAGGAATTTAGTAGAAGATAGATAGCTTGACCATGGTCCACATGAAAGAAAAAAGATCTGTGGGGTTTGCTAACTGCAAGAACACAAGGCCAAACTGTGCCGCGAACGCAAAACAAGTTAACATCTTCCTGGCCAGAGGTGTGCTCAATCACGGCACAGTCCCTCCAGAACTGATCAAGCTCCAGCTACAGCATGTCTCACAGACGACATTCAGTTCTCTTTGTTTCCTTAAAGAAGGTGCCAACAAACAGGGACAGGTTCAGGAGACGGTATCCTTGAAAGGTGTTTAGAAACAACATCACATTCATTTATTTACTTAGTTATTCACCAAACACCTCAAATGTGCAGATACTTTCCACGTGTCACTTAATCCTCCCAATAATCAGTAACACAGTCGTCATTATCCCCACTGGAAACAAAGGCAGTTAACACATGTCCCTGAGGTCATTCAGCTGATAAACTGAAGCCATGGCCTGTGACAGGTGCTCAGTAAATACCAGCTGCCCTTCAGCATCACCCACTCCACTACCTTACAAGGTATTCAGGAGTTTTGTAAACTGCTGTTATCACATTATTCTAGAATGATCTAGGAAAAGATAGACACGAAAAGGATGAATTGTTGAAAGGGTTGGTTCCTGGAAAGTAAGGCTCTAATGACAGTGTAAGGGATTAATCACCATAGGGTGGGATGGCTTCAAGAAGCTGTGGATGCTCAAAGATTCTTACAGGAATTTAGAAACAGAAATGGAAATGGAGAATTTGAGGGACGTATTAGCCAAATCTCTAATAAGGTGGGAGAAGGAATGGGTCAACACAAATAATCTAAAGTAGAAGTACATCTCATCTAAGATTAGCTACTATAATTATAGTATAAAAATATAAATATTTCAGCCAAAGTTTTGGGAGCAAAGGGTATAAAATGCTGATTCTTTAGGCATTTAACTTTGATAATAGTTACTGAATTATCTGTCCAGAAACCTGCTTCAACATACAATACTTGGTTCCCAGATACTCAGGGGAATGTGGGGACACTCACATACATGATCTATCCTACAGAAGGTAAGTCAGAAAGAACAGAGAACTGCAAGGCACGGTGGCTCATGCCTATAAACCTAACACTCTGGGAGGCCGAGGCGGGAGGACTGCTTGAGGTCAAGAGTTTGAGACCAGCCTGAGCAAGAGGGAGACCCAGACTCTGCTAAAAATAAAAAAAAATTAGTCTCGCCTATAGTCCCAGCTACTTAGGAGGCTGAGGCAGGACGATCGCTTGAGCCCAGGAGTTTGAGGTTGCTATGAACTAGGCTGACACCACGGTACTCTAGCCTGGGCAACAGAGTGAGACTCCATCTCAAAAAAAAAAAAAAAAAAAGAAAGAACAGAGACCTGTCTTCAAACTGGAAAAGAACTTCAAACCCATCTCACAGGTGAGAAAACAGAAAGGAAAAGGAAAGAGTCTGTTCTAAAATCACACAACCAGTTGGGCTGTATCTTTCTTCCCACTCCTTCAGAAAGGCCCTTAGGACGTCTTGGTTCATTACTACAGAAAGTACCTGGCTTCCTTCCTTTTGCTCTTTTGAGAAACCGATCCCACCTGTTCTCTCCAGCCATGCCAGTTCTCTCCCTGATCTCTCCAGACATGCCACTTCTCCCCCTATCAACCCAACTTCTTCCAAGAAGCACCCCCAGGGCAGGCCCACCTAGCTCCACTTGCTTATCACTCTGTAAGTATTCAAATAATCTAAGTGGCTGGAAGGCCCTCAAAACTATCTAGTCTACTCTCCTACAAAATGCTGAAGTCCCTTTTTACTGTGCTCTTCTGTAGATATCAACCATATGTAAGTCACAGCAGAGGACATGGTTAAAAATCAACTGAAACCAATGGCCTGGGGTCAAACCCCAGCTCCACCACTTGCTAGCTTGCCCTTGGGCATGTTACTTTCAAGGTGGCTCAGCTTTCCCTTCTCTTACAAGTACAAGGGGGGGAAATAATACCTAGGGCTGTTGTGAGGGTAAGAGAATTTAAAACAAGGAGAGTGCTCAGGACAGTCCATGGTACCCAGTAAGTCTTACATAAGCATTTGTTGTTACTACAATTATTCAAGTTTGGCAAGAACACCACCAATGACAGGGACTTGCAGCCTGCCAAGCCTGCTACTTCCATTATGGGACAGTTCTAATATGTTTTCAAGTGTCTGAGCTCCAACTCTGTGTCAGGCACTGTCTGAAGTTCATACTCTAAGGACAGAGGAGGCATGTGTGTGCAAGCCGTGGTGCCAGGTACTCAACTTACATCATACCTTTAGTTCTTGCTAAACTCTCCATACATTAGCAATGTCCACCTTATATAAATGAGCAAACCGGGATTCAAAGAGATCAAGTGTCTTTCCTAAGGGTACAAAGCTAGGACGTCCAGATCCAAGGGTTGAACTCTGGCCTTTGCACACATTCACCCTGGCTCCACGCTGCATGGCAGCTCTGGACAAAGTTTCTTCCTCTCTCCACACAGCAGCTCCCATGCCTGTGTGGGCCTCAAGGAGCAGCTCCCGCATCCTGGCTCTAGCTGGGTATCCAAGTTATAAAACTTCTGTATACCTTGATTTACTCATCTATAAAATGAGTTGTCATGCAGAATCAATGAGTTGATAAAAGTCAAGTGCTTAGAACAGAGCCTGGCTTAGAACTGCACTCAATCAGTGTTAGTTACTCCTCACTCCTCAAAGCCCAATCTCCTTTTCTTAACTGGATAATCTTCGTTATTCCTTCACCAGTGCTGTGTGAAGTGAAATAATTCTTGCAGAGTATCTAACACCATGCTTGGCATTCAGTAAGCGCACATTAGTGTTAGCTGCCATCAACGTCCCTTCCCGTTCAGTGACTCATAGGCCCTGGAACTCAGTAGGCACTCAATAGTGGCAATGCAGAGCATATAAATGTATGCCAAGACATCATTTTAGATTTATCATTAGAACAGATGGAAAAGACTTATGTGAAAACAGTAGAATACTAAATTGATCGTACAATATAATTTCAACCACATAAAAATATTCACACAGAAAAAACAAAGAAAATATAGCTATATGCTAACATTGGCTGTCTTTGAGACATGGGATCATGGGTAATTTCAAATTGTTTTGTATTTTCTGAATCTTTTACAATGAGTATATATTACAGTTTTACAAACAAACAAATATATTTACACACACACATATAAAACCATGTTAATAGTTCACTCTTGAGTCCAAGTTCATCACCGCACCCTCCACTTACTTCCTCCATTTACTACAGAGAGAAGCCCTGTGAATCTTGCCTACAAGTCCACATGCAAGAGTGACCATGC